AATAACTAGATTTGCGAAAATCTCAATATAATGGTCTCAGATTACTTTGAAACAAAAGGCGAATGTTACCACTGGACTCAGCACTATCGATTACCTATAAACTGACTCATTTAGAAGTGGCTGAACTTTACCTGACCGATTTCGGGCATTTCAGGAAAATGCGTGTAGCTCTTAAATGGAGCAAGCTATCAAGCTCGACATAGTGTAGATCGAAGGAGAACAAGTTTTATTATTAAGTAGTTTAATTGAAGTTTGAAATCAACGAGAAAAAGCGTTCTAAAAGCTGTCCTCAAAACTTTTCACTGGTGATTCTCCTATTAGTCAATTACTGACCAATCAAATTTCTCCATAGATTTATGTTTCCCGGTGTCCTCTTTCTAATAGTAAAAACCGCAGATCGCTAGCTTTTTATATTCGTGAGTTATTCAACTCACAATCACCCATCTTCTATTTTGAAATGGATAGTAGTTTATGGGATATTATTAAGCGGTCAGTAAAATAAATGAAATGGTCAGGAAAATAGATGAAATGATCAGTAAGATAAATGGTCAGTAAAAAATGTATAAATAATCAGTAAAAAGATTAAATGGTCAGTACTTAGATTATCACTCGTATAAAAAAAAGATAGGAAAAAATCTGATTTTAATCGATTTTTTTGTGATTAAAAATCGATTAAAATGGGACAGTTTTAACCAGGTTTTTAATCAAACTAGTGATTAAAATAAATTAAATTTATAAATATGCATTTTAACCGATTAAAATTTTTTCATTGACTATTTTACTCAATTCCAGTCAGATTATTCGATTTTTAATCTATTAAAATCAATTAAAATTTTTAAATCGATTTTAATCAATTCTAATAGTTTTTCTTTTTAAATGAATAAGTACCAATTGATATCGAGTCTTGAAGCATGGAATTTATGTCAAAGGTCGATCTAGCATCATATCTACTAATTTTCCGAGGCAAGGAGTCCGAAAAAGCGATCGAACATCTGAGTTCTCAACATAAAGTTTGAGAAAACGCATTTTACCGTCGCCGCCATTAAAATTAATATTTATAAATTTAATTTATTTTAATCACTGGTTTGATTTAAAAAATCGATTAAAATCAGATTTTTTCCAATCTTTTTTTTATATGAGTGATAATCTAAGTACTGACCATTTAATCTTTTTACTGATCATTTATACACTTTTTACTGACCATTTATTTTACTGACCATTTCATCTATTTTACTGATCATTTAATTTATTTTACTGACCGCTTAAATAGTAGCCGTAGTTTATTTACTTGATTTATTACATCTACTGAAGTCTTTAGATGTCATTGGATTCTTTAAGTTCCTTAAATTCTTTTTATCTATCGTCGACATCGGATTATTTTCTTCAAATTATTTTCCAATTGCAAAGTTGTCAAGAAGATAGAAGCTGAGAAATTCAGATAAGCCTCCAAAAAATGTGCTTCTGCAATAGTACTGTTAGCAACAGGTGCTGATTCCATTTTTTCTTCATCTATATCTATAATATTACACATTTTCAATTTCACTACATCGATCATTAGGACGCATTTAGATGACAATTCTTTGTTCATCAACGATCGTAAACATCGTTGCATGCCAACATATCGTCCTGTTGAAGGTCTCAGTACTATTGTACATACGCAAAATGCCACATATATGGTAGATAAATGATGTACTACGAGATAGTAAAATACTTAGCAGGGAGAGAAGGAGTTTTTGGTAAGTCTTATTTGCACGTAGCGACTAGTGCAATCGAGTGTTAGTAAACATACATGAGTGTTCAGAACCTTTCTTGAGTTTTTTCAGTTCGTGGAGTTGCAAATATCTCATAGGTTACGAAATCATCGAATCTCAATACATTGTACTATTAGTATGTACTACTAGTTTTTTTTCAAAGAAGAAAAAGTATTCTTTTTAGTGTACTCAAAAAGTGAGTACACTACTAGAATCGGTCAGTATGTCCGGCCGTCCGTCCGGCCGGCCGTTAACACGATAACTTTCGAAAGGAGAGTCCGATCACGATGAAATTTGCTACACAGTTCAGTCTTTACAATATCTCGGTCGAGTTCGAAGATGAGAAGGATCCGTCAAGAAATGGCTGAGTTATCGAAAAAATTGTGATTTTTGACCAGACCATCCCTGAGGGGGGGTACGGGGATTTTTCGAAAAAAAAATTTTTTGCTCATAATTATTCACAAAATACATAAATCGACTCAGTTTTTAACGCTGATTCTGAATCTGATATTAGTTTTGAACCGAATCATAGTTTTGTGTACTCAAAAAGTGAGTACACTATATAGTATAGTCAGTGCGTTCGTCCGTCCGGTTGGCTGTTTACATGATAACTTTTGACAGCAGAGTCAGATTGCGATGAAACTTTCTACACAGCTTAGTCTTGACAATATCTCGGTCGAGTTCGTAGATGAGAAGAATCGGCCCAGCCATTCCTGAGTTATTGAAAAAATACCTATTTTTCCCTATAGCCTTCTGTGGAAAAATGGACCCATCGTGACTTTCGTAAAAGACTTTTCCTATCATAGTCAATTAAAACCCCAACTATTATATACCATTCGATAGAGAATTTCAAGAGCTACAAAATGATATATAAAACAGAAAGAAGCAAGAAGTCTGACTCATCTATCACAAGGATACTTAAAGAGAACTAGGTTATATTTTGGTCCACGATCTAATTGATTCATAAACAGAGCTCTATCTTCTGATCACATTGATGATACTTCGAGGTTTTCAGAGATGGAGAACTCGAATGTGTACTGCACTTCCATCGAAATACTATTGGTTGTGCAGTGACCAATGGAAATCAAGTTATAGGAAAAACGCCTTTGTTAGGGTAAATCAAGGAAAAGAGTTCAAACTTGAGCTGTATTCGGTCCCATGTCCTATTGGTTTGGCAACGCGCAATAGAAATCAATATTTTAAATGGTAGGTTCCCCAGTATAATTTTGATGTTGAGATATTCTAGGATGACTGATTCGTATGATTCACTTTTTGAAGTACACATAACTCTCGGATTTAAATCCGAAGTTTCCGCATTTATTTTCTTTTTATTTTACTCTTCATTTGTATAGACTTCTTAATCGAAGCAAAATTGTTTTGTACAAAAACAAAAAAAAACAACATTTCCATAAGTTAAGTTCTATTGAATTTCTTCTGCTGCTGCTCTTGTATGTATATAAATGCTTTTGTAAATTTATCTGCAAGTTGTTCATCATTTGTATCCATTTCTTGTTCACATGCATTCTCAATACAAGGTCGAATAATGCTATTGTTAAGATATTCTTTGAATGCATTCGTTATTGTATTTGAACTTATTCTTATATTACTTGAAGTTTCACTTAATTCATCGACAAATGCAATCATAGTTTGTGCTAATAGACGATTATCTGTTTGTTCTCTTCGAATTTCTTTTCGTAAATTATTTAGTTGACTTTGTACTGTACCAAAGGTAACATTAGAAAATTTAAATATTTGACAATATCTACCAATGATTTGAGGATTATTCATTATTTGTTGATGTTCATCAAGAAGTTTTTGTTCACGTTCGATAGCAGGACGAATTAATTGACAAATTTCAGTATTTAGTTTGTCTTTATATTGCTCAAATGTAGTCCATTTATCTGATGAAAATAAAACTTTTTGTACAATATCTAATATTTCTAATTTATATTCTCCATTCTTGGAATTAAGTTGTCTAATAGTTGATAAAAATAATTTATTAATATCGAAGACTTCTTTTTTGACAATACTATTAACAGTAAATGGTAATGCTAAACTGAATGTATCTACTAGTGGTATATTAGGTAATATATCATCCATCCTACTGAGCGCATAAGAAACCATTGCTTCATTATTTCCATCATAAACATATTTTATAGGTGGTGTATGACGTTGAACAATTCGAAATATTTGTTTTGTTTTTCCTCCAAATAAGGAATCATTATCTAACATACTTAAAAATCGATTAACTATCAGTGATGTATCTTGATTTATTTTCTGATCGAAATCACCAGAAATTAATGTTTCAATACTTTTATATCGTTCTATAATATGTTTAAGAAAATCAATCGTATGTTTATCAATATCAGCTATATTCATACTAGTTAAAGCAATCTTTGTTAATGTTTTAATATTAAATCCATTTGTACATAATTGATGAGTACTATCAGCAGCAATACCAACTATTCCAACGTTTTCTATTGATGAAATTGGTTTAACAAGATTACTTACGGCTGATGTTATACATAATAAATTTAATCCATAACTAGTTACTTTTTGTTTGAAATAATTAACAAGATCAAAATCATTAGTAATTTTTTTAGCTAAAATAAAAATAAAAATAAAAATATATTGTTTTTATTTTTCATAATTTTCTTTTATCTTAATTTATTTACCAATAGCCACATAAATATCAAAAGTTCCATTAAGAACCATTAATGTTCCTAATTTCCATTGATCATCAGCAACACATAAATAGACTCCACCAACAATTTGTGCAATACCCATAACAAAAATAAATATTGTTTTCCACCAACATCGTTTAGCTTCAATTTCAAATATAAATACCCACACTAAACCTTCGCTACACCATTCTTGATATTCAGCATAAAGTTCATTTTTAATTGCTTTAAAATGTGTATTCTCTAAACTTGATAATGTTACGTCCCAACTTTCATTGCGACATGTTATTTCATGTTTATCTTCATCAAATTTACATAATTGATCTTGACTAGCTGTAAGTATTGAATAAACATGTTCAAGATAGACAAGCTCAGCAATAGATGATCTAGCAACAGATGTTTCTATTGATAATTCATCATGAATTTGAAGAAATTTACGTCGTTCAATTTCATTATTTAGTAATGTAACAGCTATATTCAATTCTTTAATAGCTTCATTTATTGAATTTTGATCATTTTTGATATAACATAATACCATATTATAATGAAGAATAAAATCTTGTTTATCAAGATTTAATGCTTGTTGATATAATGTTAATGCACGTTTTTCTCTTTCAAATACATTTTTCATACATAACATTTTAATACCAGCTGTAATAAAATATTTTGGATGAACAATCAATTGACGAAGAGCATCACATGTTGCATTAGCTTTATGTACATTATGATATTGTTCATCATTTCTATGCCAAGAAAATGTACTATACGGTTGTGATAATGTTTCTTTCCTAGTTGTAATAGCTAGTTCAAGTTTTTGCTCTATTTCATTTGCAAATGCTGGAAAACGTTCATCAGCTGTTGATGCATCTTGATCACAAAACGAACTCCATAATTCACGAAGTGAACTAAAACCTGATTGTAATATATCGTCAGTAAATGGAAGATCATCTTTACGTGAATGAACAACATTAAGAAAACGAACAAGAAGACGATCTTTTGCTTCAATACGATTGACTTCTTTAATTGCTTCATTCATATTATCTTTTTCAAATTTATCTCGAATTTTTTTCCACTTTTCAACTATTTGAATCTCATCCTCTGGTTCATATGGTATCATATTATTATATTCTTTATAAATAATTAATCTTGCTGAACCTGGTTGTCCTTGTCGTCCAGCTCGACCAAATGCTTGTTGTTCAACACGTGAATTATTTGGCATAAATGTAACAATAACATGTAAACCACCATGATCAATAACAGATGTTAGAACTTTTAAATCAGTTCCACGTCCAGCTAAATTTGTTGCAACAATTACATCACCTGGATGAACTTCTTCTGGTTTTGTATGTTCATCACTTCGAAGATAAAGTTTTATATTTGAATGTTGAGAATTTAAATAAGATTGAACATCATTAGCATCACGTATAGTTTGACAAATAACTAAAATAGCTCGATGACTAATAATAGCTATTCTATGACATTCCATACGAATTTTTTCTAACCATAATTGACGATTATCAGCAAATTGATCTAAAATAAATTATTATCATATTAGAAATATATTCAAATTGTTTAAATATTATTTACTTGGATAAATATCAAATATACTATCAATATATTTTGGTATATTAACAATATCAATATTATAAACTTTTTTTATAAATTTTTGTGCATTTTTTCCACCTAATGTACCAGTTAAACCATATAAATATTTATATTTTTTAAATAAAGTAACATTGGAATAAAATGAATCACACATATGTTCAGGTGTCATACGTAAATTATGTTTTAATTGAAGAAATTGATGAATACCATCACTCCAATGCATATTCATTTGAGATACACCTGTATTTAAATAATCAACAACAACAATTTCATTTTCTTTATTAATTATATAATCAATATCAAGTTGTAATTCATAAAGTGCTCGTCTTGCACTTTGAATCCATTTTGGTAATTTTAAAAAAATGTATGATCGACGAAATTCAGGATATTCAATTAATTGTTTATCATTTAATTTTCCACTAATAAATTGAACAGCATCAACTAAAATATAAAAAACATTTCAATTGAATTTCTTTTATTTAGTAGAGTTTATTTGTTATTTGATAACGGTGTACATAATGAGAAAATGTAGATTTTACTGTCATATATGACATATATTAACCCTTTGAGGACCGCTGACGCATATGTGCGTCCTGACGTTTTTTTCGTAAAATTAAGCTATCTGTGCGCTTTATTTTAGTTTTGTATATTTTAGTTTCAGTTTAAAAAGAGAAGCACATATCAAGGTGTTGATTTTGTTAGAACAGAAATTACTTTTATCTTCTTCTTTCCTTTTTTCCTAGTATCGTCCAGTTGCCATATACGATATCGTGAGGTAGTGAAATCACTTGCCAATGTCCGTTTAACGGTAGAAGGGAGTCTTTTCGCGTTCTCGCACACAAAACTCGTTTATTGTTACCAACTGTGGGATACTTATATCGGAGAGTCAGGATAGACAAGATGTTACTGGAAAACGATGGAAACAGGCGGAACGAACAAGAGAGATCACATCTGATCAATATAGAGAGAAGGCGAAAATGTATTGTCTGCAGTAGAGCAGAGCTTGGACCAAAAAAGCGTACCGATACTTTATATGAATGTGTGGAGTGTGATGTTGGTCTATGTGTCAATGAATGTTTTAAAAAATATCATACTTTAAACCGTTTTTAAATAGATATAAACTTGTTTCATGTGTTTTAGAAAGTAGAAATAAAAATGAAAAAGCTTAATTTCTTTCAAAATTAAACTGGTCCCCAAAGGGTTAATAAGAAAATAATATATAGAAATCCAATAACAGAAGGATATGGCTGTCGATTTCTATGAAAACATCTTATGTCTACACTTTAGTTTGTATAATAAATAATGCTCGAAATTTTGTATGAGTAAGAATTCTATCATTGTAAAAATTTTCTGAAAATATTGAAAGATGATTTATTGTTGTAATTAGAATATAACTTCAAACAATGTCTTTGTATGACTATCTAATTCAGTTGTCTAACTGTAATATGTAGTTTTTATATGCTATGTTTGTCGATATTGTGAGTATAAAACATTTTCTATGCTTGCTTGAATCTTAATAAGAATCCACTACGTGTGAATTATTGAGAGAGACAGATAAAAGATTGTAATGAAAAAAGAAAAAATGCTTTCGTTTTGTTTTTCTCGAATGTGTTTTTTTTTTGTTACTTGATTTTCTATTTGTTATATAATAAAATGCGTTGCAATGTACACTTTCTCATGGTGTATTTACTATTGACGAAAAGAAAAGTTGTGATAATCTTATTTTAATATCAAATAATTTGAGTAATTAATTATATTTACCTGTCACAAAACCATTTTCTTGTTTTATAATAAATTCATTATTTTGAGTAATATTATATTTTTTAAAAAATATAAAAATAAATTTCAATATAATATTTAATGATTTATAGCCAGGTGTTAATGATGCTAATTGTGTAAAATGCTCACGTTGATCAATAAACATACTATCAACTTCATCAATAATAACTGTTGAATAAGGTCGATCATCACGTATTTCTGTATTTAAATAAAATTCAGTACGAAGTAAATCACCAGCGAATTGAGTTACTGTACCATAAATAATATCAAAATTATAGTTTGAACTTTCAGAAGGATCATGACAATTATGTCCAACTGTCAGATTAAACATTTGATAGAAAGATGCAAATTCTTGAGCATCACGTTGAGCAAGAATTTCTGATGTTGTTATAATATCAACATATTTTTTTGATGATTCTAATGATAAGTATACAGCCACTAAAAGAAATAGAATATATAAAAAGAAAGAATGCATTATATTAAAAGAAAAATATTTTCTTTTGTTTTTGTTTTTCCTTACACATTGCTACAATAATTGATTTGCCTTCACCTGTACGTATTTGAGCTAATCGTCCTCTATTTTTATGTTCACTTTCAATAAAAAGAAGAAATGATAAAATTTGAATATCTCTTGGTCGCACTTGTTTAAATATATAAACAGCGTGAATAATAACAGCTATTTTATAATATTTATCAACGTAATTTTGTTGATTTTGAATATCAAATGATGTCATTCGCATTGTTTCTTTTTCATAATATTTCATGACTTTTTTATATTGATATTCCAAACGGTCAAGATTTATGAATGAATTTAGTTGACCTAATTCTTCAAGTAATGTTTTTAATGATTTATTTTTACCTAGTTCATTAACAATTTTATTTAATTCTTTCATCCATTTATTTGAAGAATTTTTAGTGATATTATTTACAATACGTTCAATATGTGTTTGTAATGAGATTCGATTTACAACTATAGTTTCAATAACAAATAAAGCTTTTTTAATTGATGAAACATTATCAAAATTTTCTGATTTAGTAAATATATGTCGAAGCGATTCTACAGATAATTTATCCCATTTAAGTTGATATAATTCTTCAAGATTTAAAAGTAATCTTGTTTGATGTTCTTCTAATGATTCTTCAATAGGAAGCTTATACCATGTACTTGTTGACATCGTTAATGATGAAGTAAGTGAAAAAAATTGTTCTGTTAAAGTAGTATCTTTAATTGATGATTGATCCATTATACTACAATATCTAATGAAAAATTAACATAAATATTTCGTTGTTTTTCTTTAGTATGAAATCAACAAAAAAAAAAATTTCTTACTCATCATTTTGTGATCCTTGTTCAGATAAATATAAATTCAACATATTAGATGATGTAGGAACTGTTACTGGTGTAAAATCAAATGAAATTCTGTTTCCATTATTATTATCTGATGGTACTTCAACTGCATTCATGAGACAATCAAGCCATAGTTTAGCTGGAATATGACTTGATTGTATAACTTGAAAAATCATTTCTACCGGTAGTAATGGTACGATAACAACACTACATGTGAGAAGTTCTCGTAAATGCTGTAAATTACTGTTTAATTGTGCTGGCATTGAATGTTCATATTTATTTGTCCAATCACTAATAATTTCTACTAAACGTATTTTTTGTTCATATGTCCATGACTTTAATGCAAATAACCGTTCATAGATAATATCATAATGATTATTTGTTTTGTTTGATGTAGACATTTTTGATTTGAAACTTTCGTTTAGTGAATGTGAACTATATTTAAAAAGAAATATGAAACAAGAAAAGAAGAAAAATTTTGTTTCTTCAACTTTTTTTTTCACACACCTACGAGTATGAGTCATTGAGCAATTTCACAAAGCATACGGTTGTTGTAATGACTAATCTATGTTATCGATCGTTTGATTAAGAATGATTCACAGAGAAAATCTATACTCTCTTAATCATCGTAGATACAGGTCGTTCTCTACGCCATTTTTTACATCATTTTTCAAACATGCTTTTATATATTCTTTTATAAAGTGTTTTTGAGAAAAATTCTAATTGTGAGCTATCGATGAAAAGAAAATACATACTCACGTCTTCAGCCAAATGTAATGAATTCTTGTTTCTTCAACAAAGTGAGAGTTTGGAAAAGGAAAACAGTGCCATGACAATACCTGTTTTTGTTAACAATACATTTTTGAAATACCAAAAATTATCCTTAAAGGTTCAATTATTATATCGACGCTAAGCATATCAGTTTTGAAATTAGCATGACATGATCATTCCTTTTTCTAAGTTATAACTAATTGCAAATTTTTTAATATGAAAAAATACAATTTTATAGAAAATGTACTATTCAATATTACTTAAAAACTTCATTTTCTATATAAAAAGTCTTTTGCAAGAAATTAATCAAATCAAACTCTTACTCAACTTATTGAGGGTGTGGGTGTGGGTGTGGGTGGGGTGTGGGTCCCATGGAGTAAAATATTCAAGGAAACGGACTGCGTAACGCGTTTCTGAGATTGCAGCATGCGTTTCGCAGCGTTTTTTCAATATAGAACGCGTTTCACAGCATTCTTACTTCGATAGAATGCGTTTTGCTGCTGTCGTTTTTTGAAACGATCTGAAACTCGTTTTTCCAAGATTGCGTTTCGAAGCGTTTCCGAAGTAAAATAATGTCGAACGCATTTCGGTCGATAGGTAACGCGTTCCAGAGACACAGATTCGGAGAAATGTGAAACGCGTTTCCTTTTCAAACGCATTTTGCATCGTTTTTGTTTGAAATGATGCAAAATATATCCGTTTTTTATACAGAATCTTGCAGGAATTTATCTGCACAAAACGTACGAATTAAGCAAAGTTAGTTCTGGCACTATTTTAGAAATTATACTATATGGGATTTGAATATTTTGTTCCTTGCACTGTTTCTCAACATGAAAATCATGACCCAAACTTTCCAAACGCAAAATTAAAATTGAATTCTTCTAAATGTTTAGGCTGCTAAACTGTTCTATAAGTCTGATTGGTAGTTAGAGTAATATTGAACATCAAAGTATAAGAAAAAAATATTTTTTTCTTCCTTGAAAACTCATTTCACTAGGTTTTTATTGAAATAAAACGTGTTTCGTAACGTTCAACCAAGCATTGTTTTAAATATTGAACAATTCGAAAAGATTTAGTAAAGACTGATGCTAGTATAATGTGTACGACAACTTTGTTTGTTTATTTGTGAAGAAAAGAATCTCGAATTATTTATAATTTGAATAATTATTGGTATGAATTCATATTTGGACTACTTGATAGTAACTGATGATACTGTGTGCAATACTATTAAATATGAATTTAGTTCGTACTTTGTTAATGTAAGCGTGACTTATTAATAAAAAGAATATTCGAATTGCAAAAGAAGATTATTTGCATTTAGTGATACTTTTGGATAAAAGGATGACGAATTTACATATACAAAAATCTATCAAATAAAGAAAACAATTCAAAAAATTTATTTTTAAATTTCTTAAAATTTATATCTAAGAGATTCAACTTGTTTAAATATTAAATACAATCTAAATTAATTAAAATCGTTTCAATTGGGTATTTAAATTTAAATTTGAACAAGTTCAAATAAAAAATATACCAAGAGGAGATCAAACTCGTTATTGGGTATAGGCACCAAGGAAATGATAATTTTTAATTTAATGGTTTGGGATACTGAAAATCTAATTTAGTAAGTTTACGGAAGACTGTGAAAGACTATAGAATAAGCACTTATATCATTAGATTATTTTAGTTGAACGGTTTGTACACATGTCTTCTACTCTTATGTTCTCGTGTTCGAATCTATGTGTTGGCATTATCAAAATTGATCTAAGTTATAGCTCTAAAGGTGTATGAAAAATGTAAGCGAGTAAATTAATTGTATCTGCAACTCAAAGTGCATGAAGTACTTGACGGTTTTCATTTTTTTCCATCTAGAACATACGACACCACAGTTAGAGAAACGCTACGAAACGTTTTTAGAAAAACGATCGTTTCACAGCGTTCGTATTAGCAGATGTGAAATGCGTTAAACCGGTCAGCATTAACGCGTTTCGCAACTATGGAAAAATGCGTTTTGAGAACGCGTTTTTTTCGCAGAAATTTACGCCATGGGAATCAGGTGATGGACAAACAAACTTTTTCTCCGACGACATGTTGACGATGGAGTCTTCCGAATAGTTTTACAAAAATTAACTATAAATTTTAAAAAAATCAAGTTGAAGTATATTTAAAAAGAGACAATGAAATTAAAGCTGCCACGAAAAAATACGTTCGAGTCGTTCCCAAAGCTAAACAAACTATTTTTAAATGAAATTTAGTTTTGAACTTCGGTTTCATATAATGAAGCGTGCATTAGATTACTGAAGTATATCGAGATGAAGGAATTTTTTCATGCCATAATTTAATTCGCTTTTCTAAATAAGTCTACTGATGAAAATCAGATGAAAGTTCGAACATTTTTGCTCAAGCGGGTTATTATTTCTTACCTGTTAACAGAATGTAACAACCAGCTTGTTTGTTACAAGAATATAAGACTCACATTTTTTTTCTTTTCTTGTTGTTAAGGGAAATTTGCCAGTCACCTGAGATAAATAGTAATTTATAAATGTTGAAGTGACTGCTTATATGTGAGTAAATATTTACTCAATAGAGTATTCGAAAGTTTGACAGTATAATTCATACTGAATCACCCGACTATGGATTAACTTACAGAACATATGGGAGAAAACACGCAGCACAAGGGATTTTTTTTTATATGAAACTCGATATGAATCATTACTTACAAAAATCATATATGCAAAGTGGAAGAAGAGTGTGAGTGTGGGTGTCGATGTGGGTGTGGGTATGGGTGGGTATGGGTGTGGGCGTGGGTGCGGGGTGGGTGTGGGTGTGGGTGTGGGTGGGTTTAGGTGTGGGGTGTGGGTGTGGGTGTGGGTGTGGGTGTGGGTGGGTGTGAATGGATGAAAAAAGACTCGCACCCACACCCGCACCCACACCCACACCCACATCCCACCCATTTGTAAGGTTCACAAAAACGTCTTCAAGAAATGACCATGAATACTTCACAAAAACAAATCAAAGTGAGCAATCAAACCCAAGGTGGAAACAGCGGACTTCAGGACTTCAGGACTTCATTGGACTTCGTTGGTCTTCATTGGACTTCAATAGACTTCATTGGACTTCGTTCTTCTCTGAGTTCTGATGTTCATGCTATTGTAAAATCTGCTGCTTTCTGAGATAATCTATTAAAAAACAAAGAACAAATATGATTTTAGTGATAAGACATGTGGCCTTTCGCAGACACTATGCAAATGTTATTTAATAACCGTTCACTCAAAGAAAAAAGTTTTTGTTATTACTATCAGCATTTCGTGTATTCGCTTAAAAATGATCGATAAAATGTAAAACCAATTAAAAAACGAGTATATAGATATGAAAACAATTAATTGCGTAAAAGATAAAATTTTAAGAAAACAATAGGTGAATTAGTAAGTAAAAAAAGACTTGATAAAAAATGTTTCTGAATGAGATACGAGCAAAGAAATAATACGAGAAGTATAGACAAGACGGTGTTGCGTATGTAAATCTTATTCTCTTCTCGTATTATATGAAGATTCTATTGAGTTAAACTTTCTTTTTACTTTTCTTTTAGTTTTTAATGATGATGACGATTTTTCAATACTTTCATGATCATCTGTTGATATTGAGATAGATGATGATGTAGAAAATGTTGAATTTGATGGGATTGTGACTGATACTGATGCGGAAGGTACAAAATTCAGTGATGATGATCGTTGATGTAGCACAGTATTTGGAGTTGCAAATGATTGTTGATTATCTGCTGTTGTTGATGACGTTAATTGATGAATTT